TTGAAAAATCGATTTTTTTATATTAAATATTTCCACGAAAAATTGCCAGAATTACAATATGGTGTATAAGGGACACTTTTGATGACACATAACAACGACTCGCACTCGCGCGCGCTCGTATGCATCAACTTTTATTAAAATAAAAAAAAATTAAGGGAAATACGTTGTACGTATAGGTCCGCTGGCCGTCAAAAAGTAGCTTATACGAGAGGTTGCCCAAGTTACAATATGTCCATCATTAATAACTCACACAAATATCGTCTCTCTCTGAAGGATAACAAGTTTTTTTTGTTTCCAGAAGCTCTTGATAGGATGGAAGCCCATAAATACTCTCTGAAGCGAGAATGAATCTCAAATTGCGATATTGCCATTTTGACAAATTACATGATGTAACTAGCGCTAACGTTTATCTTCAGGTAGACACAGTTTTAAGTTAAAAGATTGTCTACTATTTCACACTGTTCTTCGTTTTGGAACAGTTCTTTGATTATAGGTAGTCGCTAATTTCGTTTTGTTAGACTCTTTCAGTTTAGCACATAAAGCGTAAACTAATTCCTCCTCAGAATGATCTAAAAGTGTTAGAGAGCGCCTCTTCTTCTGCAGAAGAAGAATTTTGCATAAATCTTCAAAAGGTTTTTTATTTATACTAAAAGTCGATGGTTGCACATCTACTTCCGCAGTCTCATCAACTGGAGCGTCTTCCTCAGTATTAACGTTGTCTATGCGTTGTGTTAACTCGGTAAAAAACATTGTTTAAATCTATATTTTTACAATTCGGCCAGACAATTTCAGAGTCTAGCCAATGCGAATTCTGGTGCAAAAATGTCTTTTGGGCTCTGCTGGAAGCAGACCATATCTTCTTTGATATATTTCTTGTAAAATTACGACTTAATGATTTGATAATTACTCAAATCTTCGGAAGACAATTCAATGCCAATACGTTCGTCATTTTAGTCTGAAATGGTCTGGCCGAAATGTAAAAATATAGATTTAAAAAATGTTTTTTTACCGAGTTAACACAACGCATAGACAACGTTAACACCGAGGAAGATGCTCCAGTTGATGAGACTGCGGAAGTAGATGTGCAACCATCGACTTCTGGTATAAATAAAAAACCTTTTGAAGATTTATGCAAAATTCTTCTTCTGCAGAAGAAGAGGCGCTCTCTAACACTTTTAGATCATTCTGAGGAGGAATTAGTTTACGCTTAATGTGCTAAACCGAAAGAGTCTAACAAAACGAAATTAGCGACTACCTATAATCAAAGAACTGTTCCAAAACGAAAAACAGTGTGAAATAGTAGACAATCTTTTAACTGATAACTGTGTCTACCTGAAGATAAACGTTAGTGCTAGTTACATCATGTAATTTGTCAAAATGGCAATATCGCAATTTGAGATTCATTCTCACTTCAGAGAGTATTTATGAGCTTCCATCCTATCAAAAGCTTCTGGAAACAAAAAAAACTTGTTATCCTTCACAGAGAGATGATATTTGTGTGAGTTATCAATGATGGACATATTGTAAATTGGGCAACCTCTCGTATAAGCTACTTTTTGACGGCCAGCGGACCTATACATACAACGTTGTATTAAGTATTTCCCTTAATTTTTTATTTTATTTTATTAAAATCTGATGCATACGAGCGCGCACGAGTGCGAGTCGTTGTTATGTGTCATCAAAGGTGTCCCTTATACACCATATTGTAATTTTGGCAATTTTTCGTGGAAATATTTAATATAAAAAAATCGATTTTTCAACCCTCGATAACTCAAAAGTACGCAGAGATAAGTGACAAGTATCTTCGCATGAAATACTCAGAATCACTTGTTTTATAACATGTGTGATCGGCATCTTGACATCGTTTAAGAATTTCGAAAAATTGACAGAAACGTAATTTCTTCCATACAAAAAATATGTATATATTTTTTTTTACTACGAAATAGACGTCGTAGGATTGTAATATTTTTTTGCCTTATTAGTTATCATAGCAGTAACCATCAAAAAAAATTTCGTGCCTCTAGCATCAATGTCCATGTTTTATTAAATCGGGACCACCGTGCGCCGTTGGAAAGGGTGGGAGGATGGGGGTTGTATTGTCTCAAGATGCGAGCGAATGCTTTTTTATTCGATATTGATGTGTTGTTTAATCTGTGGCTTATGGTTTTGGCGGGAAATTGCTGTTATTATGTTGTTCTGTGGAAGACGGGATCGTTTTCAGAAATTGATAGCGGAAACTATTTTCTTTTATTAAAATCTAGCTGACTAAGCGAGCCGTTTTTTTACTTGTCTAAAAACTGTGTCACCAAACTCACTGCATTAACCTTCCCTGTATTACCTCCTAGTCTATAGTTTATTTCATACATTTAAGGCTGGGTTGCACCTTGCACCATCATACTTTAACTTTAGCAAACGTCAAAAATCTGTCAAATTCCGTACAATAAAGCAACGGTTATGGATAAAGTTGCCGTTAAAGTTAGGTGGTGCAAATCAGCCTAAAAGTCTTGTAAAGTTATTTCTGCTGCTTTTTTTTACAGATAAAGATACTCGCGATTTTGTAAACAAGTCACATTTAGTTTAATAGTGATCTACCTACTCCTGATTTTACACCAGTCACTTTGATGTGTAATTCATCATCATCATCATCATTATCTCAGCCACAGGACGTCCACTGCTGAACATAGGCCTTCCATGTTGCCCGGTTGGTAGCGGCCTGCGTCCAGCGCTTTCCTGCTACCTTTATGATGTCGTCGGTCCACCTTGTGGGTAGACGTCCTACGTTGCGTTTTCCGGTACGCGGCCTCCACTCCAGAACCTTGCTGCCCCATCGGCTTGTTGATGTGTAATCAAACTAAATACAACTTATATTTTTTGTTTACTGTTACTATGATGTTTCTAAAATCCCTTCAAGGCAACTAAGCTATCAAAGTACACCTTCGCGTCAACATCAAGCTTTTTCAGAAGGGCATTTCCGGAAAAAAACAAATTACTTCAGTTCCGTTCGGAAGCATTTCCGTCGGAAGCGGAAGCGGATAATATTTACGAATTTTTTAATGGAATTATCGCAGGTTTTCAAGATTTTAAACAGAATGGCAGATTGAAGAAGATAAAAAAATAAACTCTTCATAAGTAGGTAACTTACTTTGTTCATTACTTGAGTAAGAAATAGAGGATCAAAGAACACAAAAGAAAAGTAAATGAAGGCAGTTATTTTGTGCTAATAATTAGGCTTTAAAAAGCGCTTTTACACGTCCCAGTATTAACCCTACCACTGCTTCGGGATGATATTTAATAAATAGTGCTAAAAAGAAGAAGAAATAAAATGAAACCTTGTTAAATGTACGTTTTCAGAAAAATATCACTCTCTCTGGCTGTATCTGTTAACATTTTATTAGTCCAATAGTAATTAATATAACCAGTTTACAGTTAGTACTCCAAAGAAAAGCCTTGTAATGGATAAATATTAAATTAATATTTTGGCTATTAAAACCCCTGAAAATTGTAATCCAAAACTATCAGCAAGCCTCCAAAACGGAACGCAAACGGTACGCAAAGTTTAACGGGCTAGGGGTGTGCGGGTGTTACAAAAAAATTGTTACCCTAAGGGCATAGGAGGGTCTGTCACTGGCAGGCCAGAGGGGGCGCCACGCCCTTCTTAAAACAATTACCGAACAGTGAATTCGATATTTGAATTCGAGTTGGCTTTTTGAGCGCGAAAATTGACGTGATCGTTTGAATTTGGAATGCGGCGCGATTTGCGGCACCTGTATCGGGTTGATCATTTTCGTTTTTATTGGATGACAGTGTTTCTTTTTTTTAATGCTTTATGAAATGATGAGTTTTGTTTCAAAAATTTTGACGTTTTGAAAATTTTTGTGAAAAGTTCTCTTTTAATTCGGAAACAGAATCTACTACAGTAAACTCTACATAACGACAATTAATAAAACGGACTGATCATTTTTCGGCGTTATAGTTATTGAACCGAGATACTTACTTGGCAGACTAAATCCAAAGCGTCTTCCAACATCACTGATCTTTTCTACCAACTCTCTTAGATTAATAAAACCTAGATGGATAGTCTTCATACAAACGCTTCGTCAAGAGTAAGGAGGCAAAAATCTTATGTCATTAGTGTCAATTTTGTTGGGGAGTGTAGACAGTGAAGGCGATTTTCCCGAAAGTAGGGAAATTTTTAATACGTTTTTAATTATTTTATAACTAACAAAAACAAAACGCATCATGTACTTACTTATTTATTGAATTCAAAGTACCTACCTAATTACAATAAGATAAATCGACTGAAAAGTCTCGATTTCATAAAAAAGGAAGTGTATTTGTACGGCGAACAATTGGGAAATAAATTTTCTTGTTAATGGTATCATTCCCGTATTTAATTTTTGAAAGCCAAATTCAAGCAAAATACGCGTCGAATCGTAGTACTTACTTATGAAATGTAACACTGGTCACTTTCTTTAGTTTTTCTGATGTATTTAGACACCCTTTCACAGCACAAACCGTCTTAATTAATTAAAAGTCGTCGGACGTGTTTACCAATTTTTCACTTTGACAGTTCATGTGACGTTTACGAGTAAGCCATTCTGGCTTACTAAAATCTGCCTCACCTTTCGTGCACTGAGCTACTATTGAGCGGATTTTTAGAAGGATAAAATATTAGAAAATATTGCACAAAACCCGTTCTGTTAGGGTCGAGATTAGAGAGAGTCGCTAAATCGCGGTGCTGTATCGACATTAGACAATTCGACATAATCGCAAAATGCTAAAACTAGCATGTCCGCTGTGGCCCTAATGTAGACTGTAAACCCTTGAAAAAGAGGCTGACAATAGTGACTGAGTTTCTTGCGCTGCTTCTTCTCAGCACTGGCCCATTTATTGTCCCGAAGCAGTGGTAGGGTTAATACTGGGACGAGTAAAAGTGCTTTTTAAAAGCCTACTTGCAAAAATACAATGTTTTTTTAGTTTTTAATATGTTCACCACCAACCTGACTGTCCTTCAGCCCCAGTTTCTCCGCCAGCTTCTTCCTGTCCGGCTTGGAGATGTACTTCTGGACTTGGAAGCGCTTCTCCAGACCTTTGCGTTGCAGGTCCGAGAAGACTGCCCGGCGCATCATGCCGCGACGGGGCTTGCCTGAGAAGAAAGAAAGAAGATGAGAATGAGAATAGAAGATGATGAGAATGTTAGGAATGAGAATAGATGTGATGAGAATGGAAGATAATGTTAAGACCGCCAACGCATAATGCCGCGACGGGTTTGCCTGGGAGAAAGAGAGATGAGAATGGGAATAGAAGGTGATGAGAGAGAATAGAAGATGATGAGAATGTTAGGAAGTGAGAATAGATGTGATGAGAATGGAAGATAATGATAGGACTGCCCGGTGCATCATGCCGCGACGGGGTTTGACTGAGAAGAAAGAGAGATGAGAATGGGAATAGAAGGTGATGAGAGAGAATAGAAGATGATGAGAATGTTAGGAAGTGAGAATAGATGTGATGAGAATGGAAGATAATGATAGGACTGCCCGGCGCATCATGCCGCGACGGGGCTTGCCTGAGAAGAAAGAACGTGAGAATAGAGAATGCGAATAGAAGGTGATGAGAGAGAATAGAAGATGATGAGAATGTTAGGAAGTGAGAATAGATATGATGAGAATGGAAGATAATGATAAGACCGCCCGGCGCATCATGCCGCGACGGGGCTTGCCTGGGAAGAAAGAGAGAAGATGAAAATGAGAACAGAAGGTGATGAGAGAGAATAGAAGATGATGACAATGTTAGGAATGAGAATTGATGTGATGAGAATGGAAGATAATGATAAGACCGCCCGGTGCATCATGCCGCGACGGGGCTTGCCTGGGAAGAAAGAACGTGAGAATAGAGAATGCGAATAGAAGATGATGAGCATAAAGTGATGTCATAAATGATCCTATGTCAGAGATAATAGATTAGAAAGTATTGAGAGAAGATGCAGGGAAGAGAAGTTAATGGAATGGTGTGTTGTCTATGCCTATATCAATCAGTAAGAAGCATAAGAACCTTTGTATGAACATGGAGCAATTGGAATTTGAGATGAGAAAATAATGCAATGAGAATGTAAGACGATGAGAATTTATGAAATGGAAGTTAATGAGAATAGAAGAAAATGGCAATAGAAAGGCCATAAGAGCCTTTTGATTGATAATTTCGCATTTACTAGCTTTGTTTTTAAGGTATTATTTTTGTGATAGAATGTGTGTTGTAAAAGAGTAAATAACATCTGATTTGGCTTATTTTCCATTATGACTAAGTATTTAACAAACTTACCTCTCGAACTGTGCGCCCAAGGGAAGCCACCAGGTAAAGGGAAGACTTGTGTGTGAGCTTGCGTCGGTCGCACTGCAACAAATAAATATCTAAGATTCAAAAGGAATGGGGATGTTGCCTGGGTCAAAAAGCAAGAGTTTTAATTAGTCCGTCAGTTAACTTATCAAAAAATACTCTACTCGTATTTTTCACTTTTTCAAACTAATGAAAATTTAAAGAGATAAAGCGCCCCAAAGTTCATAAGAAGAGGCCCGTGACGTCAACGCTTGCTTAAAAATGCCGCACGTTGTGACGTCGTGCGCAACTTCAACGCACCATAACTATGTAATTATTTGTTAGATTGACAAATAAAATTATACGTGTCCAATATTTTTTGATATTAAACATTACGGACTAAAAAAATTTTTTTAGGCAACTAGCCTATTATACCCGTTTTCACCATCAATACCTAATTTTAGGTGACCCCTTTAAAACAAAATTCCTGTTATGTTACCATAGGGGTCACTTAAAAATTAGGGATTGATGGTGAAAACGGGCATTAGAATATCACACTGCAGACCCACGATACCCCTGGCGATACTCATCAATAGCACAAATTATTAAGATGATAGAATGTGGTTAGACAATAATCTATCACGATGGATGAAATGTAGTAACTCGCAAGAGTCGGTTACGGCGTTTTTGACGGCTTGCTAAGGCACAGTTGTACGTTGCACCATCTTACTTTAACCAACAGAACGTCAAAAGCCTGTCAAACTACATAAAAAAACACCGGTTCTGGTTATAGTTAACTACTGTTAAAGTAAGATGGTGCAACTCGGTGTAAGTTTTATTTTTTTATTTACTCCAATCTTGGGTTGGGTTATTTTTACCCGACAGCGCTAGAAGGAGGGTTATGTTTTTTGAAATGAACACACACAGCTTTACAATATTACATTAATGTTGGCTCCAGAAATAAAAACATTTCTTTGATTTATTAATACTTAGTAGAAACCATATTATTATCATTCAAAAATGTACTTAAAGTACCTCAAACACTTCAAATTTTTAATTCGAATCCAATTTAAATCATCTTAAAAACTTCTTTTCATACACTCCCACGCACCTTTTCGTTCCACAATAAAATTCACACTTGTCCATCAATAAAAATCTATTATTTGCAATAATGAAAAAAAGCACAAACGATCATACAATACCCTATTTTATTGCACAAAACACAATAGATTTATGGATCTAATAATTCTATTATATCGACATTAATAGGGATTAACTGCAGACTGGCCATTTTTTGAACAAAAAAGTTTTTTTTCCGCATTTTTTTCAACCAAAAAAATGTTTGAGATGCTATTTAGTGGTTGCATTGGCAAATAAGTTTGATTTGACGTTTCCTGGGGTTTTGTTGGGTTTTAATCATTCTAGAATTGAAATAGCACTATTAACACTTAAAATTAATTTAACTTAAACAAAATCTCAAGGATTTTGCAAAATAATAATGTTTTTCCGAGTCCGTCCTACAAAATAACGTTCAAAATACGATTTTATTAATAACAGTCATAGATCCTGTCTTGTAAAACCTATGCACCTTGTAGGTATAATTTGTAATATTTGTGATTTTTCAACAAAGATGTAGAGTCAATGTTAATGAATTACGACAAATATGTAATTTAAGTAATAAACATTATTTTAAAATTACATAAAGAAGGTTTTTAGTTCTCAAACCTTTTTAGAACATTTTCTTTTTTATTTTTGTCTGTGGTAGGTCCGTAACACGCAAAAAGGCGATCACCACAGAGGTTTAAGTAGCAACAATAAAAAAAAAAATAAGGCCAGCCCACTAAAAAGATGAAACGCAATGTATTGTTGTCGACAAATACAGCAACAATTGTAACAACAAGTAACAATAATGGAGGGATCTATTGTTAAATAATCTGTAAGATAAACAACGTGTCTTTACACTTATTAACGAGCATAAAAATATATTTATGAACTGCTATTTTTGTGGTTTAGTTTTTTTATGTTTTGATAGTGCAACGTACCTATTTTGAAAGGACTACAATACGAATGCATTTTATTAGAGAGCAACAGAATGAATGTAATATTTTAAAATTCATAAATCCTTCGGCGAGTATTAGCGAACTATAATCATTACTATTTTTTGGCATAGTAGCACAGGGATTCCGTGGAGGGTAGTTGAACGGGAAGCATGGTTGAATTGAAACCATTAAGGTTTCAATTTATTATTTAATGGACTTTAGTGTGCAAATTTGGTGTTATTTTGTATTCTAAAATGCAGTGAAGTGATAAATTATAAAAAAAAATTTAAACACTTCGAATTTGAGCGCGCATCGAGTGTCGAGTGGGTTGTCGTATGAACAACCCGCTTTGGACCCGGTGGCGTCTTGAAACCTGCTTAGGGGTCATCCATAAAGTACGTCACACGTAAAGAGGGGGGGAGGGGGTCGACAAAGTGTGACATGGTGTGACAAGGGGTGGGAGGGGTCCTAAGTTTCGTGACGTCACAATTCAAAATCTAATTTTTAGAGGTACTTATCGCGTAATTTGAAATATAAATTAAACTAAAAAATACCCCCACCACTTAAGCACAACTCCGTCGAAGTCGAAAACCTAGGAGAGTCGTAATGGGCAACCAAGAAAGCCATTAAATCATAAACTCTTTTGGAGGAATTATTTCAGATTTAAAATCTAATTCTACTGGTCTATAATTAGTCCAGTCAATGAATGCCTTAACGACGGTGTAGAGAGAAATCCGTGGAACACAATTTCTGACCTCGGGACTTTATTTAGCCTAGTTAGGTGGTGAACAGAGCAAAAGTCCCCGCCCTTAGCCCTTGAGCCGGCGGGGAGAGGGGGGTTTAAAGGTACCACTTTTCGGTTTTTCGCTTAATCCTCGGAAACTATGCGTCCTAGTGACATGACTACTATGAACCAAAAAAAGCTTATTCAATTTGCTACAGGTGAGACCGTCAAGTTTTTATATATCTTGTATAGTTTTTGCGGCATCTGCTTGACGTCACACTAGGGAGGGGGGGGGGGGGTCTCAAAAATGTGACCACCTGTGACAAGGACGGGGAGGGGTCAAAAAATCATGAAATTCGTGTGACGTACTTTATGGATGGCCCCTTACGGGCATACTTAACTCCACGAAATCCATCAAAAATCAATAGAACTGAAACACCCACGTTCTATTGATAATATTATATCACTCGACATTGGCAGAAATAAACCTTCCAGAGAGGTTTGGTTGTCACTAAATAAAAAAAAATACTTAGTAGCACAGACTAATAAATGGCACAGTGGACACAAAGGGGGACTTTACCCTACTAAAAAGTTAATTTTGAATTAGAAAATCTTTTTTTATGCAGAACAAGGCAGGCATTTGACCGCAATCGCACAATTAAGATGCAGTCTAGGAATGAGTCGGGCAGTTGATCAGTATGGGCATGTATGGAAGTGCGCACATTACACCGATTTGATTTGGCCGATTCTTCATACAATTTGAAATCGGGCACAACTATCGGCCAACTAAAAAGCCTGGTCCATGAGCACGTAGAATCCCGTCCAATGACCCCAAGCTGCCCATCCTTGTCGCTCGCACGTAATTATGTTGCTGTCGCGCTCGCACACTCACTGCGGGCGCGCGTCGCACAGTTGCGACAGCAATATAATTACGCGCGAGCGATAAGGATGGGTAGCTTGGGGTCATTGGACGGGATTCTATGTGCTCATGGACCAGGCTTTAGTCTAAGTGCATATTCATTCTCGTCTTGAAAAGGCCATTATAGTGTTCGGAAAAGATAGCAGCAGGCAGCGAATTGCAGTCCCTAGCTGAGCTGTTCGCATTATGAAAGAGTTATCGGAACGCTTAATGCGAGCTGGTGGAATGTCTTAAGAACAATTTAGAGTTACAACTTACCCAAATAAGGGTCAAGGGTGGGGACAGTGCGCCAGAAGATATTGTGTTGATGCTGCACCGGTAGGTATGGGCCGACTGGCGATGGGCTTGGCTAATCTGGTACTAGTTTGTTCAGTGCCGTAACTAGCCTTTTATGCGCCCGGTGCGAGAAATATAAAAAAATGTAACCTTTTTGAATAAAAAGTAACCTTCTACGGGGGGGGGGGGTGCGGAGCGTGCATGAAACAAAACTAGATACTGGTCTGGTCATTTCTGCGCCCCTCCAGGGTCTGCGCCCTGTGCCTGGGCACCGCTGGCACCGCCCTAGTTACGGCACTGAGTTTGTTACCAGTTTTTTTTTATTTAACCCATGTATTTTTAAGCTGAGTTCCACCAATTTACTTATACGTTACGGTGTCTTCCAGCGACTTGGCCCACTTTTAGCTTGGTCCACGGGGCAAGTCACCAGTTTGAATTTGATACTATTTTGTTACCAGTTTTTGTTTTATTGGAATTTAACTTTCTTTGACCAATGTTTTTAGAGTATTTGAGTTACAAGTGTTACAACTCACCCAAGTAAGGATGGTGACAGTGCGCCAGTAGATGTTGTAGGTGTTGGTGCTGCACTGGTATGGGTCGGCTGGCGATGGGCTTCGCAATCGGCCACGGGTTACCCATCATTGGCTGGCGGTAGTCTGTAACAAAGCAAAAAAAATATAAAATCATCCATTCTTAGGCTGGTTTTCAACCGACTTCAAAAAAGGAGGAGGTTCTCAATTCGACCCGTATGTTTTTTTTTTTCTATGTTTGTTACGCGATAACTCCGCCAATTATTAATATTCATGCGAATTTGGAGAAAATATTTCACCCCCAAGGGTGGAAAATTGGGGATGAACTTTTTTATACGCAATATTTTTAATTTTTAGTTTTTTTTTGTGTTCACGCATTTGAAGTCGGTTTTATTTTTTTTAAAAGTTAATAGTGTCACGAGTCCGCGACAATATCAGTGCGGATCGCTCCGCACAGCCGATCTGTATGAACTGCTAGGGAGCGAGCGGTTCCTCCGGACCGCATTACTCTAAAACGCTCCCTAGAAGTTCATACAGATTGGCCGTGCGGAGCGGGTCCGCACCGGACGGTCCGCGTGACACTAAAACCAGCTTCAAAATTTATAATTCGATTCAGAAAACAGCAACAACTGCTATTCAATACACCGATCTTGCCGCGACAAGGACAACTTTCCGTGATTTCATGCCTAATAATAGAAAAAAGTTATAACGGCTCATGGGGTATGATCTCAGATCATAGAAGGGAATGGGTATGATGCAGATATGTGCTAGTATAATCCTTCATTTGCCTCTGGTAAATTGGATTCAATGACCCCAAGATGATGATTTTGACACTTAAAAAGTAAATGGTAGTATGATATTGGTTTAATTGGTTGGTGGTAGCTTCTTGTAAGCCCGCCTGGCTAGCTACCACCATCTTACCTAAGTCTGTCGCCATAACAACAATGTAACAGCATTGTTCTGTTCCGGCAGTTAGAGGTAAGATCGCCAGTTCCTCCGTGGTTGAGGATTCCGGGTGAAGCTTGATTCCACCTTCGGCGTGATCATCACTTACCATCAGGTGAAATGCAGGCCAAGAGCTTCCTCGTTGTGGAAAAAAAAATAGCACTTTTGTATTTGACTTAGTGAATCAAAACGCGACTCTTTTGGTATTATTTATTAGTAAATGGTGTCAAATACCCAATTCATTTCCCATTAAGATTAAGATTTACCAATTACAAATATTTGCAAATGCGATAAACGGTCTAATCGCCCCCTAAATACGCGAGAGGGAATTGAATACTCCTCAATCGTAGGTGCCACAAAAGGGGAGCGCGAGCGATTTATTTGGATTTATACTCATATGAATACATCAGACAGCAACGATGTAGTAAATCATTTTGGCGACTTATCTGATAGAATATGATTTATAATCAAATGAAAGTTTTTTAATTCTTACATCAGCTATGTTATCCACCACGAAGTAATTATGAGACACAAGTAACAAAATATTAAATTTAAAAACGCTTCCTCTCACCCTTTAGACCGCGTCCCGCCTTTTATCCGCTCTAATATCTTGGCTGCTTTATAGCGCATTTTATTGTTTGATATAAGAAACGGTTTGGGTAGCTCCATGACCAATGCTCTCTTCGCATTAAATTTTTAAAATATCTATAACCGCTTTCTCTCCCCCATTAGCCCACAGTCACATGCTTGTAAGGGGCATGCCCGCACAATATATCGCCTCGTTTATAGCGCAATATCTTAATTCTTACAGTCTCTTGTAGTCATCATAAGGTATCTTAGGCCCAGAATAGAAACGCGACTGCAACGAAACTGCAACTGCTAGTACTTTTGTGTTGCATCTAAGTTTCTGCCATAGCGTCCGATGAGAGACCACACATGACGCGACCAGTTTGAAACTTTCAGTTTCATTCATCAGAATTATCAGAAAGTTGCAGTTTCGTTGCAGTTGCGTTTCACCGTCTGTTCTGGGCCTTACTTCACGACCAATGCCTCTCAAAGTCCGACCGAAGTCAGACGCTCATTCAATTTTTAAATCTAGAATCGCTCTCTCCCCCTTAGGAAATTTACTAAAAACGCTCGCTCTCCCCGTTTAGCCCACAGTCCGCGTTTTCTTACCCTCCTGTCACGGGCAAGCCCGCTCTAATATATAGCCTGCTTTGTAGCACAATATCATTATCTTGCAGCATCATGTAGTCATCATAAGGTGTCTGACTTCATGAGTCATGACCAATACATTTCAAAGTCCGACTGTAATCGCTCATCAAATTTTTAAATCTAGAATCGCTCTCTCTCCCCCTTTGGAAGTTTACTAAAACGCTTGCTCTCCCCGTTCAGCCCACAGTCCGCGTTTTCTTACCCTCCTGTCACGGGCACGCCCGCTCTAATATATCGCCTGCTTTGTAGCACAATTAATCATACTCCTAACCGTTTTGTTTTTGACTCCGCATTAATTTAAACTAACCATAGGGTGTGCATCGATCTGCATTGTAATTGAGTGTTTGACTTCAAAGGGAGCTATTAGCTTAAAGGGGCTACACACGTGTAGACATACACGTAGACATTTTTAGGCTACATACGTGTAAAGCCTGCGTAAATGTAGACAAATGTCTACATTTACGCAGGCTTGCTACATGTAAAGGCTGCGCAATAGGGATGTTTGCAAAAGCAGGAGTTATAATTAGTTCGTCAGTTAACTTATCAAAAAATACGCTATACCTACGTATTTTTTACTTTTTCAAAGTAATAAAAATTTTAAAGAGATAAAGCGCGCCAAAGTTTAAAAGAAAAGGCCCGTGACGTCAATGAGTGCTTAGAAGTGCAGCACTTTGTGACGTCGCGCGAAACTTCAACGCACCATAACTTTGTATTATTCGTTTGATTGACAAATAAAAATATACGTGTCCAATGTTTTTCGATTACCAACATGACGGACTAAAAAAATTTTTTTAGGAAACTAGCCTATTGTACACATTTTACCCGACTGCACCAGAAGAAGATTTATTTTTTACATGGCACACCATCTCAGGATTATTAGGAAACTGAGGGCACTAATACTGACTGAGCAAACACGTTTCTGGAACTGTGACTTCACTGAGTCAATCGACATAACAAAGAAGCTCTTAACAGCATCACTCACTTTCCATCAGGTCAGAACCTGATACCTGATCACCAGAAAGTGACAATCAGGCAGAAGGAAAAAAAGTTTCACATGGAATCCTCAATCACAGAGGTACTGGCTGTTAACATTGTCGCGTTCCGGCAGTTGGAAGTAAGATAAGTAATTTGGCGATAGACTTAGGTAAAATGGAGTAAAGACCGACTTAAGACGTATAAATTAAACTTTTTAAAACACCACGTTGGGCGCCAATTATAAATTCCCCTAAAAATATTGTTAGTGGGTTACTAATAGTACTATGATTGATTTTAACTTATAAAATGATCCACAGAATATTCATATTAAGGGCGTCTAAATCAAACTTTTTAAAACACCACGTTGGGCGCCCATTATAAATTTAGCATAGAATATCGTTAGAGAATTACTAGTGTAGCACTATAATTGATTTTAAAGTTATATTTCACAGAATATTAATTTTAAGTACGTCTAAATTAAACTTTGAAAACACCACGTTGGGCGCCAACACCACAAACAAATTAAATGCCACACCAATTACTAACTTATTAAAAGAAATCGGTTATTAAGTATCATAATAATAACAGAAAACAATCATAAAAAACCATTAATCATTCCATCAATGCTTCAACACAAAATCGAAGTGCACCCTCGTATTATAATTAGCCTATTAAATTTAATAATTAAAATCACACGACCTCATTTGGGGGTGAAGTTTTCCGACACAACGCCTCCCCCCAAGGGTTCTCAGATTTACCCCAAGTATAATATTGTTTAAGGATTTTGAGATTACTTTAGGGGATGAGGGGAAGAAAATCTGGCAAAAATTAGAAGGTAAATGATTGGAGTGAGGTTGTTCCATCGTTATTAAGATATTATTATTAAGTTGGTTTAGATTCAAAGACTTTTATATTATAAACTACTATATTTTAAATGTAATTTTGTCTGTCACAGAAAAACTTTATCGCACGCGTCCCTGTTTCAAAAACCGGGATAAAAACTATCGTATGTCCTTTCCCGGGACTCAAACTAGCTCTATGCCAAATTTCATCAAAATCGGTTCAGTGTTTTGGCGTGAAAGCAAGACAGACATAGTTACTTTCGCATTTATAATATTAGCATAAATAGTATAATATTATGTAGATTATTATGAAGAGGAAATATTTGGTTGTTTTGTATTGAATAGGTTTCGTTTCCATCTAATGACGTCCACTGCTGGACCACCAGATTCGTCGGTCGACCTATTAATGAGTTCAAAACGAAATATTTTAAGAATCCCGATAAAAAACTACAGACATACTGAAGCACTAAAGAATAATAAGGTTCGACTCGGTATTTAAACTTCCATTCAAAATTACTAATACGTAACAAAAGTGCAAACACTTGAGAAAACAAAACGCTAAAAAAACTAAAGTCTTCGCTCCCTTTTTAACAATACCCCAAAGAATAGGACGGGCCGTTAATACCGAGCGGTAATGCCAACATAACAAAAACTAATCCAGCTGATTTAATATTGCGTTTTGATTCTGCACACTGCACACACAATAGCGGGTTATGTTTTTTATTGCGGTGGGTGTGGTTTGACTATCATTTTTAGGGATTAAATTAAAATTAATCGACAATGAAGATAATAAAACGGTAAATGTAGTGTTGTGACTTAGTGGGGATCCTTAGAATGGAATTTTTTACAAATTACAAATCTAATAAAGTTGTGGATATGCCCATTTTTTTTATCCACAGCGAGTATTTAAGTTCTTGGCCTGCATCTCACCAGTGTGCTTACCATGAGTTTACGTTACGTGTGCTCGCTAGCGACTGCGTAAAAAAATGTCATTAATTGTATGACATATTGTGCAGCGCCCCTAGCGGCTACTTTCAAGAAACAAAATCTCCATAGAGATTTTTGACGTTTTCGCTAGCGAGCACACCTAACGTAAACTCATGGTAGGTACACTGATGGCAAGTGCTTGATCTGCCCTCGATGGGAATT